CTGCAGCCCATAACAACTTYGGGTTTTATGATTGGGTTTCAGGCAATGCAAACAAACTCCCTTCTTGATCCTAGCCTTTCATGCACTTTCAYTGATCCTGAGGTCTAACCAAGGTTTGGTTGCAGCATCCTCCGGTATGGCTGGGATCTTGAMTCCTTTGGGGAGTGGGACATAGTTCTTTCCTRAATTCTGGTTTGGTCCCTTCACATTGGCAGACTTTCAAAAGGCATTAAGTTTTTCTTCGTCATTRTTGATATCAGATTCATGGGYTGAAGATGAACAGGCTGTATCAAAGTCTTGTTCTTGATCGTTATCAAGAGTGGGGTCATTTGCATARGCCTCYTCATCARCCTCCAGCAGGTCATGCACARCAAAGTGGTTGCTGGCTCTAAACTGCTTGYCGCCTATAGGCTTCTTGCTGCAWGTTGTGGAACGAGGTTTTGTGCCTCRAAGTTGACTACATCCTGCAYGAGGGAGAGTCAGTCCGTGTATCCAATGAGATCTTTGRCTAGGCGATGCGTGTAAGCAGTGGGAACCGCAACTTTCACAACATCCATGCATGACTGTGCAGTCCTAACCTGRGAATAACAAAAAGTCTGCTTACATACAAATGCAGTTTGTGCATGGTGCCCATCCACTTGTTGCGCTTGAGATTGTCAAGCTTGTTCCTTACTCTGGCAGCACATGTGGATYTTTGTATTGTTTAATCAATATTTCTTCCAGTGTGACCACAAGTGTGGCTTTGAGCCACWGCGTGTACCCGACTTGTATARCTTGAACTTCTAARGAGTCCCRTAYGGCGGGTTCGACGWTGGTCCCCATGAWCAAGGATTGGCTCGTCAACYGWGTTCCTAGTACCTCGAAGTAGGCTCTCATGGAGCTGATCCAGGACTCTGTGTCTTCCTTGTTGTCRKACTTAGATGGTATTTGTAYCGCGTTTTTGTCCACGTATACTTARATGGTATTTGTACCGCGTTTTTGTCCACRTAGGGACTGCTAWAACCAGCACCARCAAATATTGCAACRGTTGTWGAAACCCCTACRCTGTCACTTGTTGAAGTGGCAACGGGGTCTGCKCCTACTGCAGGTCCCGATTGAACCACACTTAGAGACGAAGAGGTAGAGGYATGGAGAGGAGCAAGAACAAACTCGTWAGCAGCCTTTGAGGCAGAAGGTAGAAGAAAAGAATTTTGGATCATGGCCTGCTGCAGATTTGCCATCAAGTGCATCTGATCACTGTGCTCATTGGCCATATCTGCAATTTGTGTCCAAAGTTCACTTACCTGGTCAAAAAGTTTAGCGAT